ACTTCACTTCCAAACAGGGGAAATATATCAAAAACCGGAAAGATAGTTGCGAGGAATTCCATCAATTTTGCTTGCATGCGGATCAGTGACATTTAATAGTGTTGAACTAAAAACCGCCTGCTGATAAGTTGACGGAGCTCCAAGGTTATGGCAACTGCTTCTGTTGATCTCAAGGCTAAATATGGATCCAAAACCCTAAGCTGGAGTAGCTACTTTCTCTGTCCCGATGAATGCGAGCTCCGTCAGTCCTTTTTGTACGTTCCAGGCCGTCCCGCTTCTGTGTACTTATACTCTGCATCGTTCCCTTCATCCGCCGTCAACTGTTGATCATCTTATTTTACTTTTCAAAAGGTGTTGTTTCTCAGCAGTTTACGAAATTTCGCTCTTCGGGACTGGACTCTGGAGCAGAAGTATACAGCGCTGTTGCTACCCTTACTCATGTTGTTTAACAGTAAGTTCTTTCAGCAATATCTTATGTTTTTTGAACATACAGACACATACCTTGCTCTCCTTCGTTCTCGTTCAGACCTCTGACTTCTTCAGTCGTATGACATCCTGGTTTATCTAATCTTGAAAAAGCGAAGCGAACAGTATAGGTACTTAAGAAATTTGATGTAACACTAAGTTCCTCAAATGCCTACCCGAAGACCATCCTCGGCTGGTTTTGATAAATTTCACCGTTGACACTGTGGTTTCTTCTCCTAAGTCCTAACCTTCTAGTGTGTGATGAAAATAAGACAATAGTAGCTGGTAGGTAGTTCGTGCCACTGGAATTTGGAAGACGCATCTAAAACCACGGATGTGGCTATTTCCTACACCAGAATCAAATTAAACTGGAGCAGTGAGGACAGTTTGCTGAGAGCTTCATCCCACAATGAAGCAGAAAGGGTTAATCAGTGTTATTTTTTCAAAGCGTTTAGTATTAACAAAGAAACCTGGCTAACGAGTATTGTAACATTTAAACTGTGCGCTAATAAGAGAAAATTCGTTTGTTCTTCATTTTGGAGCCAGTCAATCGCTATAAGCCGTTGTAGTGCGTTAATTTTCTACGGCGAACATTAGTGGATTATATGAGAGCGGAACAGTCGCCTTGAGAGTATGGTCATGTGACTGAGTAATCGAATGAAATGTATGCTTAGAAAAGCAACTCATCAACTGTGAAGCACTCCCAAGAAGCAGGTGTTCTCGGCACTACAGCGGCCTCATTCAGGACCTTCGTCCATATGAATGGTATAAAACTTCTGGCGTTCTATGATGGTTAAATCATAGCCAATATGATAAACATGAGTTTCGCACCTAAGCGACCAGCGACAGCTGCATGCAGCTATTCATTTGGCCTGTACGCATGTGACTTACAGTAGATGTTTCATTTTCCCTACCTCGAGATGGCTCGATGTTTAATGTGCGAACGTACCAACCGGAAGTTCCGTGGTTCGCACGCAAACCTCAGCATTTGACTGCTTTCTTACAGTAGATGTTTCATTTTCCCTACCTCGAGATGGCTCGATGTTTAATGTGCGAACGTACCAACCGGAAGTTCCGTGGTTCGCACGCAAACCTCAGCATTTTGACTGCTTCTGTCTAGACTTGGGCAACGTTGTTGTGTCTCGGTCCTTGTGCTTGCCTCTATTAACTTGACAACTGAGCATCGGAAGGATGCTACAGCTGAACCATCTTTGCTCCTTCATTTTTACTAGTTTCTAACACCCTCAGGTAAGTATTTTCGTCGCTGAAAGATGAATATTCTTCAAACAAGTGGGTTCAAATTCCAAGCGCCTTACAATTATTTTGATTGGGTGGAATTAGCGGACTAGCCAAGAAGATTCGAAACTGCGGATGTTATCCCACTGATTCGAGACACTGTGAGAAAAATAAGAGCGTTTTACGATCTCCTCTTCGTCTAGTGCTCTGTATTTGGTAAATTGACTTAGTCTAGTTACGCGGAAGTTATATTTTACTGGCTTTACTGGCGGGATGAAACCTGTGTTGAAAATTGCCAAATCTCAAACCTAACAGCTATAAAACAACCTGAAACTAACAGCTATACGATTGACTGTTCATGCCAGTGGATCAGGCTGAAAATAGACCTTTGATGTTTTTCCTTCAGGCAACGTTGGACACCAACAGTGAGCAAAATATTCTACTTGTGCCTCTGACTAATTACCAACTGGACAGTCTGAACACTGGCGTTGCCAACAAACGTTAGATAAAAACACCCGGAAAAGGCAACTCAACCTCAAAAGTTACACCACCTTCCTTTCTTAATGCACCTTTTTTCGCAAGCTTGCATCATTGGGAAAACATTTTCTGGGTTGTCTTTTCGCTATGTGACCTGACCATCCAATGTTATCCTAAGCATATTGTTTGTATGTAACGATCATGCCCACAAACACACACGTTCCTCTAAAAACTACAAATGATGAGAGAGAGAACACTGGCCAGCTACTTCTTCAGCAGTGGATTTTCATTGTTCAACTAAACTTCTTCAAATTCAAGAAGGAAACTCTCAATTGATTGAGGCTTGGATTGGGGGGCATCGGGAAAGCGCAGCCAGAATTTCAGACAGTATGTAGTTGCAGTATGCTTTATAAGTACGTATGACAACCAGCAAAAGAAGCGATCGATTTAACAAGATGAAACCCGATTACCTGACCGCCGCATTCTTCATTAAATTCACCCCTGACAGCTAAACTGAAAATGCAAAGCCTTTTTCATTTCTCCTTTATTTTTTTCATTTTTCACATTTAAGCATTCGTTTAGCTGCATCATCCTTTATTCAGATACTTGCCAGAAAGCTTTATCAAACATTTGGGACACGATATAAATTGGGTTTACCTGATATCCAAAATGTTTAAGAGTCATTTGTTTGGCAGCAAGCTTTCGCCGGACATTAGACAAACTGTTTAAAGCTGGTTGAAACTGTGCTCAAAATAATACGACTGTGTAGGTCCAGTGAATGACTGCACCACAGGAACAGATCAAGGATGGTTGCGTTTTGGCTTCCAAAGTCGCCACTTTTCCTGTTTACACTAAGCTGAATTTTTAAGAAAAGGACCACAGATTATCTATCACGTCAGTTTAAAAGTTGTCTGCATAATGTACCCAAATCCCTTTAACGCATTACTTACAAAATGCTTTTAACTTCTCATAGTAAATTGAACATTTACCTCGGCTACAAGACATTTCCTTTTCCATACCGTAACTCGTGGCACCATGATTTCCCTTCTTTATTCCGTTTCCACCAAGCAGATCCATTCTTTCCCATGCGCTACTTTACAAGTAGTTGGATTGTACAGTGGTTGGACAACGTATTTCAAGCTACCTTCACAGCTGCTCTTCTCCTTTTTTGGATATGTCTTTTTCACGGAATGCGCGCGGTAGGTGCTTTACACTTATCCAGCTGACATCCTACAATTTGTAAATATTGTTTTGTTTTGTAAATACCGAGTCATTCAAAATTTTACAGCATCTCGAAGCTTGGAAATCGAAGTCACGGTGTTAGCTTTGAGACATTCTGCAACATATTTTATCGAAGCCTCCTTTAACTTAATAGAGACCCCAGTAACTTATTGTTCAATGAAATTTGATGGAACCATTCGGTTCTGTCACGAAAGGATCCTTCAAGTTGGTTTAAAGCACACTTTTATATTGTCGATCTAAAGAAAGAACATTTTTCTACGTGCCATGCAGCAAACCGACACAGTGTCACTAGGTGCCATCATTCTTGCAGTTGCATGAAACCGAGTTGCATTTATTTGGTTGTGAATTTTTTGCCCTGGATGCGGTACGAAGTTACAAAGTTAACGGTCACAAAAAAATTGATATAAAATAGAGATGGCTTCTGTAGATTTTTGATTGCTTGGCCACTGGACATTAATACCGGGCTGGTTATGTGTTAGCCTATAGTATCCAGTCGCTTTCGATTTACCGATCTAGCTCGGTTATTTTTAAACAAACGTCTAAAAGTTAGTGCGTAAAACTGCACGTAGTTTTGTCTTCCACCCGATTTCTCTTTTTCCAGGTTAGACGCACTGTATGTGGCTTCTATTTGCCTAAAATGGTGATAGTGGCTGCACCTTGGCTGACCTTTGTTTGGTTCGCAGCTTGGAGTACCCAGAACCAGTACAAAGATGTGAAGTTCAATTTATCACTTGACATACGAACGATGATGGTAAGTTTCCTCGGATTGTGTTTACTCGAAAGCGCTTACTGCGTGGTCTTTGGATTGTGGTATTCAGTGTCGGGGGTTCGCCCCGATACCGGAACCCTTTCAGTTTCAGTTACTCACAGCCAACAATTGATCATCGAAGTGAATTGCTTTGGCTGGAGGATGAGAGCCGCTATATCCTGTTGCAGTACAAATTTACTATACTGCTTTCCAACCACTTGTTCACATAATAACTGGAAGTCTTCTGGTTCTTGAGACGCACACCACTGAACATTCGCAGAGGAATGAAGCAGTTCCCAGTCATATTCAATAGTAGGATTAAATTTCCTTTGTGTTCTAACTCCCATCCACTCGTCAAAAGCTTTTACCATTACTGCCGGATGGATGAAACACGTGGTTAGATGTTGCATTGTATCTGAGGCTCCCATGGCTCTTCAACGATAAGTACCACTCTGATAAGCGAATGTTAGAACTAACCACATTGTACACTCCCATAACCAATGCTGTGACGCGAGCACCACTTACAACGTGCCCAAGAGCCTGGTCGAAAAAGACACTTTCAGGAAGACTGGTTTACGGCCTGCAACTTTGATTATCAACGAATTTCGCATTCTCATGTTTTTTTACCTATGAAGAGGGCACTTGAAAGTGTTTCTTAGAAAACTGGAAAGGATCGCAAGCAATAAACTCAAAACTGGGATTTTGAAAGCTATCGCCGTCTAAAAATATATAGAGGCGAGTGCTGTGGAAAGACTATGTTTTGGAATTTATGCGGACCTTCCCTTGAGATCTCGCCAATTGAAAATCCACTCACAACCTCACACACAACTTCAGGTAACTTGGACTGCTTGACCGAGCATTGAATGGCGCCATATCTTGCTGATCAGACGGTCGAGATTCTTGAAATGCACACAAATTTTCCAACTATGGTGAAATAACTGCACAGCTTTTCTTTGCGTCCCACCACAGTTTGATTTTACCTCAACGTCCACAAGTAAGACGCCTAAGTTTCCTCATAATCCAACAACGCTTTTAGACTGTGAGGCAAAATAAGTGGGTCAGAACTCTGATTTGGTAAGCAGCGGATTGAATTTTTCTGACAACAGTTCCACAGATTTTAACAAACACTCACTAGACCACTACACGAAGGCGGCTGTTATGCTCAAATAACAATTCCCTTTTTCTGGATGTAATAAGATGAATAAATTCAAAACTCGCTAATATGATTAGCTTAGATTACATTAACTTGGTTTTAACGAGAATGGTATGCTGGGCTTCTGAGAAGATATACCTGTTGGACTTGTCGCAAACGGAGTTATCTCAGCAAAGACTTATTTGCGCATCTTTCTGCACAATTCTGCTTCTCTCCACAGGAAGGTTTTCCATTTTGTTCGTAAACTGAGATCAAATGTCCTGCCGGACCCGCAAAGATGGCCTATTTATTCTAATTTTAGCTTTACAACAGCATTTCGCTCTCTCCATGTACCAATTTCCAAGGGTAAATTTAGGAGGTTGGTAAAATTCAGCAAGCATATTGGCTGTTTCTTTCCTGGCCACTAACACCAGTTGCGCTTGTGACCTTCCTCAGTGAGGTATTAAACACAGTAATTCTGGTTAACTTTGAACCACGTGGCTCTTTTGGCTGTCTTTAAGAAAAGGAAACTATGTGCAAAAACAATAATGTCACTTCGTATTTTGTGGCGATGCGGCACCTTAGCTGTGTGGAAGCAGTTTCCTGAACATGTGTATCAGGGAGAGGAAAATTTTTGGACGGATTCACTTTTAAAACATGGTGAACGAATTTTTCTAAACATGTTTCGGTGGGACATGCCTGTTGCATGTTGTTACATGCCTGCCGAGCCCTCTTAAGAAAGTCCGTCTCTTTCAGGGTCGTATCTGATAGACTAGTTTTAGGAGACTAACCAATAGTATTCGCAGTCCCCAAGAACGTGTACAATGCCACGGCCATCCCAGTTGTCTTAAAGCAATGCAGTTGTTGACGTATGTTTTACCTCAAAAAGAAAAAAAACTGTTTGTGTTCTCTCCATCAGAGTAGATATCTGGGCAACAAAGTTAAGTGGCATTGTTTTGGCATCGATTCTCTAGGTAAAATTTGATGGACAGTCCTTAAAAATGTCGTATGGGACCATGCTCGCACATTTATGCAAAAGCTTCAAGTCAAAGTATTACCAGAAACATGAGACCTATGCCTGTTTTGCTGGATAATTGAACGTTGGCTGACTGCGGAAACATGTTGATCAGCCATCATCGTTCACTAATTACTTCCGGTTGTCACTGATTTGCTGCAACTGGATGTAGTTGGGCACGAGTATGAGTAATTGGTTAGTGGTCAGATGCACCTGTCATTGTCTGCCTAAAGCCACTTTAGTACCATTAATTGAAAAATGATTAAACGTTTGCTGATAACTTCTGGTTCACTGTTATTCCTTCTTCTCTCTGTTTCAGTATACAGGAGCTATGCTTATTTGCTTCGGACTAATCTATGTAGTCGTGCTACTGATCTTGATCTTCCATGCATTCGCCGAGTTGGGCTGGCTAGCGTATAACTGTAAGTTTTTATTACGCTCGCCAATGCCAGTTTACGGGGGACCATCGAAAAGTGATGGTTTATGTAATTCAAAACTTATTTGAAGCCTTAATGAATCCAAAATTGTGGTATTTTCATATTAAGGGTATCCCAAGAATACCTACTAGGACTACCACGCTCCAACCCATCCCGCCTTCCCTACTTCGAAGAATATAGGTTTGGTAATGTGTTGGAATACTGATAGATCGGGAGCACTAGTTGGTAACTGATCGGGTGGCTGTTGATCTGTTCGCCGAGCTTGGTAATTGATTTGAAGGCGTTTCATCGCCATTCGAGGAGACATCTTCAGTGCGCTGTTGGTAGGGTGGGTCCTCTCTTCGAGCCTGCGTGTAAATAGTTTACAAAGAGCAGCCTTTGCACTGCAACCTGGATTCTGGTTGGTCCGATCTTAATCTGTGTTAAGTTGTGGTTTGTATTTCTTGCTTCCTATGGTCATGCTGCTGTTGAAATTGCCGTCCATTGTCGTCTCTTTCGATTGGCCCATTCTTGATCTGTATTGCGTCGTAGTCTGCTACTCGGTTGGTTTGTAGTGTACCTCTTATTTTCAGTAGTTTGCTGCTCTTTTGACTTCTTCTTTGAGTCCTTATTCGGCCTCGGGTTTTGTGGTTCTGGAATTCGTATTTGGCGTCTGACGCTTACGAACAGTTATAGAATGCGATCCTACCATTCTTACCAATTCAATGCTGCAACTGTTGCAGTTGGTGCTTATTTTGACCACCGAAGTCAGCGGCTGATTAATAAAATGCGAAACAACTATCCATGTCCCAAGTAAGGTCTCTTTCTTGACAATAGGTATACCGTAACTGAACGAATGCAGCCGAATTTCATCCAGTACTTAGCTGATTGTGGCACAAAATGCTTTACCAGACACCTAGTGAAGGATAGTAAAGTACTTTTTGCTTCAACCGAACTTCTTTCTCTCCTAGTTTTATCACGAAAACCTTACAGTGGTCATCGAAATGCTAATAGGCGTACATTTACCTCTTGGGAGTGACGTGGCCTTGCAATCCGCCACACGATGGTAAGCAAGTCCCTATCGTGGACGATTAGAACTGCCCAACCCACCTACATTCTTTGACTCTATCCGTGAACTGTTTGTTAAAAGACGTAAATTTATCCCATAATCGACGGGTATACTGGTTTACCATCACCTATGTTGACTGGATAGATCGGGAAACAACACAATCCTCAGTCACATAGCGTGGACATCGGACAATTTCACCAAAGTTCTTACAGCCATTAATCAGCTGATTCTTGATGTGGTTGAATGACTTTTCTGTGTCCGAAAGCGACGGACCAAAACATGGCTCGAGTTGTCGTTGCCCAATTGATCAAAAGCCAGTCCTATTGGCATTACACCAATCGCCACACTTTTGTCTGTGTTCTCGTATTTTCTTCTCTGTTCGGCCCAAAAACACACTCTNAAATGTAATGTATATATTGCTACATTCTGTGTCCGATAAACTCAGCTAACCTTATTTTAGCCATACTCAGCTCATTTACTCAGCCCACTTGGCCCCCCAAAGAAGGGCGCTCTGTGTAGGACAGTCTAACGGTTGGGTGCACCGAATATCAACACAGACTCAAAATAACTTGATTAAAGGAGTATTAATGCGCTTGAAGGATAGAAATAGCAAATTACTACCATCATCACCATCATCGACGGCATGACATCACTATTCAACACGGATCCTTCGCTGCCGTACAACGCCAATGTATTTGAAGGGCTTATTGTGAAGAAAACAATAAAGTGGATGGGGAAATGATTTGTTACTAGCTTACTATAATCATTCCGAGATGCCTAACCGTAAATTAAGACCATCGTTTTTGGAGCTCCCTATCCGTAAACCATATGCCTGTCCAGCGCTGGTGATAGATTATTGAACCCTCCAACTCAAACAAAACTGGATTCTGTTGTTTTCGTTGAAGTTCTAGCAAACGTGCTGGTTATTGGGCTCAATAGGTACCGTTTTCATGCACAAAAGTCGTGGCCTTACTATAAATTGCTCACTGGTTTTCGCTCTCCTGCAGCTCTCCGTCTGAAAATCCTGGTCTCACTATCATCCCTATTGGTTGTGATAGTCTGTTTGGCCATCGGCTTTCGTTTCATCTTCTGGAATGTAATAAAAATAAGCAACTCAACGTTGGACCAACAACGCAAAACAGTGAGACTGGACTCGCCTGCGGTTTTCAATTATCGGTACCGATCAACTGCTGAGTTCTCGCTTGTTTATGGTATCGTTAATGCGTATGTGGTAGTACTTGCCATCATATATTCGCCCTCCAGGCGCGCAGTTCACGGTTAGTGATGTGCTTGCCCGGTAACGCATTTTTGTAAATCCTTTTTTGTGTGTTTCAATGTCTTTTACTATCAGTGGGATCAGTCATCCTTGTCACCTCATGCAACACAGTATGATGGAAGGCGATGTTGAGAAACTAATTAGTAAAAAATGTATGGTAAAAATAAGAGTATACTGGAAGCACGTGCCGCCACAAGTTCTGAAGTGTGAATGATGTTGACATTGGAATAAACATCATTTAGGAATCATAGCGTGAAATGTTTGATTCAGGCAGTTTGTGCCAGGAGATCAACAAAAGAAAAGAGCTTAGAAGGCGTAGAGTCAACAATAGAGTGAGCATTCTAATTCTGGTGGTATACTAATTCATCCCATGTAGGTCACTTCACTTAAAGTGGACTTGCGTATACTTCAGTACGAACTTATGAACTTGAGGAAGGGAACAGATGTTTTGCTTTATCTGGAGCCACAACATCTAGTCCCAACGTGGTAGATTTATGCGTCAGATTAGCGAGCATTAACTTCCGTTCTTCGGAGGTAACTTTTTGCCTATTCGTGTGTGTGTGTAGTACTTCCTTGCAGTGTGGAGACCTAATCCCGGATGTGCTGAATTACACGACAAAGTTTTCCGGGTTTCTCGACTTGTTTTGGTAAAACATTGTGTTTCGAGGCCTAATACTCCCTCGCTTCTACCTCCAAGGGCTGGTCCGGAAAGTTGATTGTACAATAAAAGAAATAATACGTCAACTTTTTTAGCAAAACTCTTTGAATAGTCTTACACTACAGCCATGGCGTTACATGTTTTGATGCATTGGTCCCAATCTTGTGTGCACAACACGGCCAATCGTTTTAACTGTTTTTATTGTATTTCAGGACATAGTTTATTATCCATCNATCCATCTTTGTCAATGGTCAGCGGTTCAGATGAAGACATCATATACGAGTGAGTGGTGTTGACTGTATCCTGCTCTAACACACGGATCGATCATTATTTTCCCCTTTTTGCTGCGACTTTGAACCTCCAACTCTCAGGACCTTTCCGGTACCCACAACAATATGTTTTCATCATCATCATTGTCGGCTGTAATAACCGCGTACTTGTCGTACAGTGATTGTAGCTGCCACAGTTTCGTTCACCGATGATTCGGTGAGGTGGGATAGGTAACTGCGCACTGGAGGCGAGAGCTGATAAATTATTGCATAAATACTGCACTGTGGGTGGACTGCTAAGGGGGGTGGGAAAGGGATTTATGCATTGAAGGCAATAGCTTGAGGGCGTCATTCACAGCGCGACTGAGCCATGTCTGCCAATGTTACGGGGTCCCCATCCAGGAATACAGCAATGACCAGCGCAGCAGAGTTGGCTGGTAATAGCTTTTGCACTCTGCTGCCAAGTCATTGTTTGACCGACTCTGGCTCTCTTCCACCCTTCACGTGGTTGCGCGAAAAAAAGCCCTTCGAGGAAGTCGGTCGGCTGGCATACGCAGCACGTGGCATTCATGTTCGAGTGTATTGCCGTAGGGAAAAACCATCATATCAAACTGTTATCCTCGTATACAGCGTCACATGCTATCAAGCATCCAAAAATACATGGACGTCTTGAGCCACCTGCTCACCAAGACAAGTTGTTATATCGCAAATAAACCGTCTGTTTGTTTGCCGGAAATCCTCATTCACAGTAGATCCGATATTTTAAATCATTTTAAGGAGTGTATGGTAGAAAAAGCAGAAACACAATACCCAGCGTTCCTAATTTGGACAGGCATAATTACAGAGGGTGTGTCCTTATGGTTAAAATTAAGTGGGTGGTTAGATGATCGGGTCTTATATGATACTGTTTTATCAGGTGCCTCACGCCACAGTTTGATTTAATCCACTGAACTCGTACTCCTCAAAACAGCAACTCTGTCAGTTCTGAAAAACTGCGTGCTTTGCCTGGTTTATACCTGGGCCACCTAGTAGTACCGCCTGCAAGATCTGAGCTGAGGAACAGATACCGAACATTTTGAGTTTTGCTGCAGTTTCGCCAATGTTTAAGGTCAAATGGCTTTGCAAACACAGTAACCTCCACACTACCTGTCTAACTCCTGACGAGTTCACATTGGCATCTGTTCTCCTTTATCTTCCTATTGCATGCAGGCAGCGGTACATGTGTGATAATGGGGAAGTTTTTATCGCACATGAATTTGTGAAGACCTTTTCAGTGTAATGGATGATCGCCACGCCTATCTTCAGCCTATTGTTCTTCCTTCCTTGATATCGCACGGGATTCATACTTGGTAAACAGGGCGACCGTGTGAACTCCTGAGAGTGATGGAGAACAACACGCTTTAGAATTAAGTATAGATTTTATTAGTGTTATATGCGCACCTTTAAGGAGATTGTGCTCAGCTATTGGGCAAATTTCTATCTAAAGCAGTTAGACGAATTCGTCCCTTACTGATATTCTTCAAAGTATTAGGTATCAGGCTATTGGCTGAAGCACACCCGGTAGATAGCTCTAACATAAAGCACAACCCAGTTGACACATCTTGTGCTGGACAATGCGGCAGTATCAGTTGACCACTTGAGATGTTCTCTGCCTCCGGCAAATTCTAGGTGGTGATTTTTTGTTTTGGAAAGCAGTCGATCCGTTGTCCAATCATGGAAACGAGATGTTTCGAAAAGTTTATTTAGTTGTGGAGGCGTCTTACTAATTTCGGTGACGGTGGGAACATGGGGAATCTATCTATAACACTTTTGCATAACTGAGTTATCTTCAGCGCGCACGGCTACCAGTGGCAGATTAAAAAGCCTAGTGTGTAAACACTATATACCTGTTGCTTGATTGTACGCAAGGAAATTTGGTCTTACGGTTCTGCATATATATCCCCCAAGCACCCATATCTGTGGCGCATTACGCCCTTGCATTATGAGATCAATGACGAAACCTGCAGGAAAGTCCCGTAGACAGCCTAGTGTACCATCAGACAGAGCAAGTCTTCATTCAGATTTCTACCTCTCGCCTTGCCAAACCAGTGCTCGAGGCGAAGGAGAACGGGGGTCTGAAATATCGTAGGTTCAAAGTACAAACTAATAAAGAAATGACTGGCAGTGGTGAGCCATAGCCAGTATGGCGACATCTTCAAATCCCTCCCATCACTTCTTTTCCTATCGCGTGATTTTTCTCTACACCTCGTCTTTTAGTGTTGCGCGACGCATTTCTATTATACTGTTTTTTGTGTTTCGTTTCTCTGCAGTCTTACTTTTCTACCGTGACCTGGCATCAAATTAGCTCTCGTGCTTCGTTCTGGTTGACTGCCAGCCGCTTCCAAACGGTGTCACATCTAAGCAATCAGACCGTTTGGAATAACACAATCAAGGCACTTATGTTCACGTCCCACATTATTATACTGTTGCATGAGTAATCTAGTGGGGTTTTTTTGCTGAGAGATCGTAGAAATTGTATTCATATCACTTGTCCAAAGGCTCTTCTCCTGCCCTAGTGCAATTATTCTTCTTAGTTCACACTAAATGAAGAATCGCCGGGCACTAATTTCGCTCGCATCTGAGCTCCTCAGCGGTGTATTAACGTGAATTTACGTTGTCTACTAAAACATTTAATTTAATTTAATTTAACCAACAACTCAAAGTTAAGTATGAGCAACGTTATAATTTCAATATCTATAATGACAAAGTGCGAAAAAAATCTAACTTACAGTCGTAAGGAAAGTCAGACACTTATGCTTGACTCTATTTCTCTTCTTCGCCAGTAATCTCGATCGTCTCTCATAGGCATTCGTCATAGATATTTATATATGCCAAGGCTGCTAGCAGGCAAGCAACACCCGGTGCTACGAAGTTATCTTAGGGTTTTCATGCTTCTAGGCCATTTTGTATTCATTAAATGCGGCAATCGCTCGGTGGAAGAACAACACGATACGAAATGGTAGTTCCTGAAGTGTCCAGTCTAGCGTCAAAAGGAGACATTCTGATAAAATTCTCTGTGGTATCAACAGAAATTTTATCGTTTCCATGGAATATTAAAAGTTTCGTTCATCACTTTTCGAAGAACGTTCGGTGAGTGATGCACGCTCTTATCTGTCATGCTGCTTGTCCGCATCCGTATTCAGCTGTTTTCTCATTTCACCCCTGACTTCCACCTGTGTAACGTGAACTTTATGGCCAAATGAAGTGACATCACACTCCACTGCAGGAGAACACCGGATATGTTGGGAAAAAATGTCAAAATCTTTGCTATCTTAATTTAGCACAGCCAACACAATTCATCTCTGAAAAGACTCCACAGTGCGCTTGAACGTCTGATTCATTTATGCGAATGGATTCCAAATAGCTTGAATGGCACACACGGACACCAGGACTGGAGGTATTTTTTATTGTCTTGCGTCTCTTACATAAATGGCAACGAACAAACCTGAAGGCAGTGAACTTTCACGATTATGTGGCTAAAATATTCATGATGATCTGGTATAAAATGCTTCCAGCCGTTCCACTTGCGCTGCTAATGTTAAGTCATGCTAAAACTGAACAAATCACGTGGCATTATTCACTGGCTTGAGTATCGCAAAACATCACCAAGGTAGATATTTTTTGCAACTGTTTGCCTAGCATGCAAATGACACTTAAAGAACTTCTCCAGTTGTTTGTTTGCTGTTGATATTTCTCAAAGCCAGATCGATTTCTTTTTCTCTGTTATCATTTTTGGGGTTTAAACAACCTTCTTCCAAAGTTTGGCCATACGTTTTTTTAATTTTTTACTAATGGGCACAGTTCTGAATCTATAGGACCTGTGTTGAGTATGGCACTCTCTAATTGAGAACAACCTGATCAAATACGGTTGAACTTTTATTTCAAACTCGCAGTGCTTTTCGTAAAATTTACTCGTGTTTCCGTTTAGGTCTGATATTGAAACTCTCCGTCTCCGCCCCGCTCGTTGACAGTGGCCATTTCCGGCACTTTGCACAAAGCATTTCATTCTCCGTTGGGCTGAAGCTGTGATCTGGCTTTG